ACAGAGTGGGAGGTGGAGACGCTTCTAAATGAAATCGAGGCCCAGAAAAGTGTCCTCTTTGCCACACTGTCTTCTGGCATAAATACAAAACGCAAGAAGAGTGAATGGGATAATGTGTGTGAGGCGGTGAATGCTGTGGGCTCCGAGCAGCGCACCCTCACAGAAATGGCCGGACCTCAAGGTGGACGTGAAGAGGACTGTCGCCCACCGCCAAACCGTGGCCCGGGGGATTGCTCCAGCCTCCCCAGCGTCAGACGATCCTCTGGTCCGTCGCAACAGCCAGCTGCTGATGCCCGTTCGACCGGCCGTGTCCTCACCTGTGCTGTGCTGGATTCACAGGAGGACATCGCGAGGGCAATCGGCGGCATTAATGAGCGCCTGGACCAATTAATTAATGTCCTTACAGACATTAATAAAACATTAAATGTACTTGCCAACAAGTACATTCTGTTTCCTTGCATTTTTAAATGGCTGAGAATGGCCTCCCGGGCAGAATACAAAACGATAGTCCCTATTATTTGATGTTTGGGAGGAAGGCAAGGTATCGATCAGAGGTGCCAAAGGCATATGAAGTAAGAAGCCGCAATATTCTCATTTTGTGAAAATTTTTAGACCAAGCTGCAGGTATTCAATGTCTTTTCTGCTCTGTTTTACAGGTTACAGACGATCGCATCACTGAGTTGCTGCAACGAGAAGAGGTATGTGATGGCCTTCAACAGCAGCAAACCACCTACAAAGAGGTTGCAGAAAATGTGAGGAAAAGCCAGGACAGAGTTCACAGAAGGAAAGTGAAAAAAGGGACTGAGGATGAATTCAGAACAGGGGATCTTGTTCTCCAAAAAAAATGTTGTCCAAGAGCGAAGGAAAGCCAAGATGGACCCAGACATGCTTGGCTTATTAAAATTATCAAGTTGGAAGGTAAAAGTGCCGATCTCCTGTCGGAAAAGGGGAAACAAAGGACCAAAATTAACATTGATCATCTCACTCACTGTTTTCAGCTAGAGGAGAGGGTGCCTGCAAAATTAAAGAACAACTTAGAACCCTCTCCTCTGGCTGGCCCCTCTTCAGCACTGGAGCCATTTTCAATATCTGGGACAGCAAAAAACCAGGCCACCGCTGTAAGTACACTGACAAAATGTGCCTTAAAACATTCATGTTCCAGATAGTTGACAGCTGTCTTTACAGTAATCCAAGCATTATGGAGTGGAAAACACCAAAACACCCTCTGGGCCAAAATGGGGCCATACAAACTGTACTCGGAAAACTTCAGACTTGGCCCCAGGGAACGAGCTTGAGAGTGAGGTAAGTTAATATTGTCATGATTTGCTGAATAGTGGGAGAAAAATGGATGGAGTTATTTCTGTATTCATAGGTGGTCAATGACTACCTGACCATGGTGGGCAGAAGAAGCGATGCCCTCATTCTGGACACCTACCTGATTACATCAGCATGGCAGGGATCTTTGAAAGGTTTTAGAAAAGTGAGTTAAAATGTTGAGAAAGGTGAGCATTACCAAATTGAAATGCTTAAGCTTTGTATCTGGTCTTGTCTCGTATTTAAAACTCCGACATGACGTGGCGGCTGGAGCAGTCTGTGACAAGGCACACTGGACACCGATCATATGTAGACACAACCATAAGACCTTTATGTCATGAAATGTAATTGTATTTTTGAAGACGTATCTAAAAGGAGATGAGAGTTGTGTACCTGGATCCATTTGAGGTAACAGAGGAACAGGTCAAAAAGTGTCAAGCTGTAACAAGGTGAATGGCACATCAACGTGAAACAGTGTTTGCATTTGATAAAATACATGCCTGCATGGAAACGTGGTATGTGGGGAGCAAGACGACAGTTTTTGTTAATTTCCATAGGACCAGTGGCGGCCGGTATATAGGGGCGCTGTGGGCGGAGCCCCGCCTGAGCTGCGTGAGCCAGCATGAGCAAAAAGAAATGTCTATTATTTATCTGAAACTTATAGT